AAATGCTTAGTGAGTTCCCCAAAATACCACATACGCACATACGCCACTCAAGGCTATAGCTCTACAAGACCTTCTGTTCCATGTGTCTCAGGGGACTTCCGTCCCACAATCCTGGTTGACCTTCCGGTCCATATCATAATGACCTTCCGGTCCATAACATAATGACCTTCCGGTCAAAACTAGTATATATTATTAGGAACAATATTACTATATTATATAAAAAATATTTCAGTAATATTAATAACCACTATCATACACTCTAACTACCATTTTATTACAATTTGTTTTTAGTATATACAAAATTCATTACATGTCAAGTACCATAATATCCATCCAATACGTTGTTACTGAGCGCACGTATCATCACTTATTAATTAATAATTAAAAAGTATGCATGATTGTTATTGATATCCATTGTATCATCAATCCAAAATAGTATCTATGATTATTTTGACGGATACCGAGCGGATAGTGGTTTTAAAGTTTTGAAAATCATAATTGGAATCGGTCTTAATTGGTTTTATATTTTTGAAACCATTACCGGAACCAATCACATCGATTCGGGTTCTAGAATTGATATTTCTTTAGTGGTTTCGGTTCCAATCACATGTGGCATCTGACTTCCTTACCTATTCGTTTCGGTGGTTTGGGTTTGTACTCGGCATACGAGGTTTCCTCCTACGCATTTGTAGCCTCGAGAGCCCAATCTTTGGGCATTACAAGACCACATATTACGTGACAGTGGCATATGTGGTATGGACTCTGATTACCTATGTGATATGACTAGTCTTCGCGATACGATTCCGGGATTCAACTGTAGCGGTTTCACTAATAAGGACATCGCCCCCCTAAATCCCAAAAAGCATTGGCGTGTGCCCTTTTTAGCAAAATCGTCAAAGATATGGAAGTCGACTTTGACATGACTGTTAGACAGAAAGCAGTTTTTGAGTGTCTTCGGGCACCTCATGCTCTGGATTTTCTGCTAACTATCTCTATTGATGACATCGGCCAGCATATGTCTCATGTGGAGTACCGAACTATCCTTCGTTACCGCCTCATGATTCCTCTATTCCCAATTGACGAGATATGCCCAGTTTGCCGCAAGGCATGTTTGGACACTTTTGGGGAACATGCGGTTCATTGTAGAGAGCTCCCTGGTTTCAAGTATAGACATGATGTGGTTAGGGATGTTCTCTTTGATGCTTGTCGGCGTGCTGGTATTTCTGCGAAGAAAGAAGCGCCAGTGAACTTTTTGACGGACCCGCAGGATGGAAAATCCACACTCAGACCGGCTGACATTTTGGTCTTTGGATGGGTAGGAGGGAAGCACGCGTGTGTGGATCTTACTGGGGTCTCTCCTCTCGTCGGTTTAAGGAGCAGGGGTTTCACAGCAAGGCATACCGCTTAATACCCGTTGCGTGCAAAGTGGCAAAGCACGAGAAGGCATGTATAGAAAATTAACATGTGTTTGTACCTTTTGCATTTGATACATTTGGTTTTCTCGCACTAGAGGCGGTGGAGCTCCTCAACAGAGTCTAACGGGTCATGCATTCTAATGTCATATCTCCTAGATCCACAGATGTTGTTTTCAAAAAAATTAGTTTTGTCATCCAGAAAGGGCTAACGGCGCAGCTTGTTGCCTGTTTGTCTTCCATCGATATGTATTAAACTATATTATTATATGAAAATAAGGGACCATTAATGTAAATAAATAAATAAATAAAGTTCCAAAAGCGAATACTTGGTCCG